GCTTCACAACGCAAGGGTCTGGGGGCGTTGTCGCAACCTGGGATCTTCCGTTTCCGGGCCTGTGATGCTGTTCCACAAGCTGGCGAAAAATGTACATGCACGACATGTGTGGCTTCCTCTTTGAGGATGCCTTTCAGCAAAGTCACTTGGTCCTGACAAGAAAGGTCAAACTGGACAATTTTCGCCTTCGCTGCGTGATAGCAGCTTATCGATTGGCATTGTCCTGAACCCTTTGCGTCTTGCCACACGGCCTAACCGTGCCGAACCGGCAAAAACTTCCACAAACAGCGGCTGTCCGGCAGAAGAAAACGGGACCTGCTTTGGAAAATCCGAAAGCGGCTGTGAAACATGCGGAACTGGCTTCGGGGCTGCAGAGCCCGAGTTAAAAGCACCGCCCTGCAAAGGGGTTTTTAAATCGGGCCCTTCCCGCGCTTGTCAAGCCCCGCTCTTTCTGCAGGTGGAAGCACCATGGCTTTGGGCTCCACACTTCATGCACACATGGAAACCAAATCTGCACCTTCCCTTCTTGACGGGGTTCTTGCAACCTTTGGTGTTGTGATGCCAGCACCGCGGTCTTCCCTGCTCGTCCTTCAAATCCAGACCTTTGAGTTCTTCTGGAAGACCTGCCGGGCTATCTGCTTTGTTCTTCTTGGACTGGTGCGGGGCCGAAGAGGAGCTCTCACGCTTCGCTTGCTTTGCCGGGGAAGCATGACTAGCCGCTTGCAACGTCGGTGCCAAGTACACCGTCAACCTTGGGTCGACACTTAGGCGCTTCAAGCACTCATCCATCGGCTTTGGATTCCCGGCAGCCACCTTCAAAGGACCATGTATCTCCCGAGCCATGAGAACGAAGAGCTCCCGGTCAGCCCTGAGGATCTGCTGCATCGACACTTTGACAAAATTGGGGACCTCCTTTGTGAGACACTCCATGAGTTTTCGCACCCATGCCTCATGCTCATGCCACGCGAGAATCCCAGCTTGGTCGAAAGCAATGCCGCGCCTCTGCAAGGCCCAGACACACTTCAGCTCCGTGCCAATGTCCACCTGCAAATCTGGACTGCTCGAAGCTATCGAGATCTGCTGATTCTCAATGCGCAAAATTGATTTGGACTTTGCCTCCGCCAGTATCTCCTGATCGCGGGATCCGCACTTGGTGGGCGGCAAATAAATGATTGCTCCAGTCTCGGCAATGTTGTAAGCAGCATCAATCAGCGAATGAGCCGGCGCTAACTCGCCCTCCAACTTCATGCCAGTCAAGCGAGTCTGCTGCTCTGCCAGTCGTGACTGCTTCTCAACAAAGGGCAGCTTCTTCGATGGCTCACTTGGATCTGGTGCTGAAACTTGCTGCTTCAACTCCGCCAGTACAAACGTGGAGGCTTCAAAAATCAGCCGCTTCAAATCCGACATGAACCCCAAAGTGGGGTCGCGACCCTCATTGAGTTTGGAACCCAAAGTTTGCAATTCTGACGCTGTCGGCGGGGTTTGGGGTGTCCCCACCGCGAAGGCAAGCTTGCTGAAGGTATTGATGTCTTCGGCTGCGAGCTGCTCGAAAAGTCCAGCTCTAACAGCATTGCATCTCTGCTCAAACGCACTTTGACTTTCAGTCAAAGACATGGCTGCGTTGGGTTGCAATCAAACGTCTGATGCCAGGTTGCTTCCTGAGACGCTGATGTGCAGGGCTGGCGACAGTGTCAACAGCGAATGTTGAGGTTTACTGAGAGGCCAAATGGAAACAAAACTGGTTGTCTTGAACCTGCGGTCTTTCGGCTGGCTGCTTCCAACCCCGCTGGTTTCTTGAGAAAATCAAATCGAGGTACATGGTGGCATGCATCAATTCACGCTGATCAAGCGTTCACTCAAGGTCCATTGCAACAACCTCGACTCCAACCGTATGATGGGGGGGAACAAGCAAACCCAGAAAACCCCCCGGGGCAAAAGAGGTAGGAGTCGGGTCGATTGGTGCCGGATGGACGGAGCGATGAGGTCGTTTTTTTTTCCTCTGCTCATGCTTGATTGATCATGCGAGTGAAAAACCGGACCACCTTACCTGTACCAGCACTGTCGACACTTCGGCGTGTCATACCTGATTGACACCGGATCCTCATGAAACATGCCCGCAAACCTGCCACAATAAAGCACACGCTTGTGACCGTCCTGCCTCAAGTGAATAGTCTTGAGCTTCCTGTGCTGGACCATGTGGAAACCTACAGGTGGCACAGGCGGCGTGAAAACGACCATGCGGGCATCTTCGGGAGCACAAGATTCACCCGAGGAAGACGAGGTTGTAACATGCGCTGAAGAAGACTCGTTGCAAGCATCCGGAATTACCTCAAACTCGACAGGTTCATCCTTGATCGTGATGCAGTCGACCGCATCAGCAAACCTACCAGATCGAGTGTTGTCTGGGCAAAACTTGTTGTTGCGAATATCAGCCAAAACCGTCTTGAGCACCTTGAGGGGCCGCGCTAGGCTGTCTCGGGAATAGGTCATGGCCATCTTCATGTTGCCAACGTGACCCCCCAGCACCAATCTGTCGTCCCAACTCTGCCCATGTTTAGCAAGGTACGACAGGTTTGTGGCTTTGCATGAATGGCTTGTAATGCGCCGCTCACCCAAATCGACATTCCCCAAAAGTTGGCCCAGGCCCCGCACTCACTGGTGTTGATTGCCCTGGAAGTAGGCTCACTCTGGAGGTTAGGGGCAGGCATCAGAGGGCACGTGTCTGAAATTCTCAGGCCAAGGCTTTCCCTCACTTGCAACCATTGGTTTGCCCAATTGTCTGAGGTTACACCCAATGCGGGAGCCACCGCTGGCAGATATTGCCCCCTGAAGGCTGCCGCACCGCGAGTCTTAAACTCGTAGATTTTGCACTCCAAGTATGCAATATTGCCATCCTTGCCGGTGTCAACCAACATCTCAGAAGTATGCTGCAAATCATTCCATCTGCTTCGGCTGTAAATTGCCATCAAAAGGGCACCCGCCATAACTTTGTTCCAGGGTTCACCATCTTCCCTCAAAACCGCATGCAGTTGCTGAAGCTCGGTGACCAGAAAAGGGGAAGCCTGATTTGTCTGGGTCTTGGCCTTGTAGTACCCAACTCCGTGACATCTGCGTGACTTGATGAGTTCAGAAACGTCCACCTGCAGCACGTGCTGCACAAAGGTCAAAGCCTCGATTAAGCTCTTCGCCCTAGAGGGTGGAGCGTCTCGATCACGTTCAAGACATAGGAATTTGTAAAGATCAGATTCCTTGCCAGGAAATGAAAGGGCTTCGTTTCCCAAAAACGAGAGGTATCTCTGCAAACCGTTGAAGCGTTTCTCAAGCGTGGCAGGGGCTTTGGCACGAAGGTAATCACAAAGCAAATTGTACTGCTCTCTGACAGCTGCACAACTCCTCAACTTCCTTGCGACATCAACTTCGTCAGGCCAGGTTAAAGTCATGCCATGCCAACGCAACAACGCAGATTGCCATTTTGAATCTCGTTCCTCACGCCATGAGAGTTCGTCAAGCTGCTGCACCACCTGAATAAACGACGAGCACTTCCGCTTGGAGGACGAAGCCGTGGAAACTCCAGGAATGTCAGGTCCCAACAAAACAGGTGGTTCAGCCAACCGCGTGAAAGGAGCAGTTCCGTTGTCACCGGGATTTTCATTGAAAATCCAGTTCCAACAGCCTGTTTCCCAGGGCAAATACACTCTGTTGCCATCGAGAGATCTCCAAGCTTGTTGCAACCCTCGATGGTTAGCTGCAAAAGAAAATTCCATGGTTCTGCTCTTGGTATGCCCCACTGTGTGAGAGCAGAATCACCGCAAAGGTAGTCCTTGGGAAAGGCGCGAAAGCAAGCGCCGAGAAACCCGCTGATGTAGATACGCTCCCACGTTGTGGAAAATGCGCTGCAAACGCCGCACTGCAAACAGCGCGCGTACCAAGCGACTCCAGCGATTGTATATGGCGAATCGTGATCGCCGGAAGCAGTTGCCCATGGAAAAATCAGTCAAGTCAAAATTGTTGGCCAGCTTATTTAGCTGGACCACCCACCACTACCCCACCCTGAGCCAATGCATGAACATTCATGTTCACATGGATGTTGGAGGCAACACATGCAAAGGGGTGACTCAAATACAGTTGTTCAAAACTCAAGGGAAAATTCACACAGTGAACAAGTCATGTCACAAACGTGTGAAAGCGTCTCAACTCAAAACCTTGTTTTCGCCCATGGCGAAGGGAGAGATGAAACAACAGTTTGGTTGTTTGTCGCAGCAGGTCACACAAATTGCTATCTGGTTGGTAATTCAATTTGCAACAATGCTGAGCTTACAGAATAAGGTGTCCATCCTTTCAGGAGGGCTTACATTCCCAAAGAGACAAGTGCCTTTGGGGGAATTCCCGGTTTGTTGTTCATTTTGATTGGCTAAGCTATTCTAACCATTCCAATGATTATCACGTATTAGTATTCTATTTGTGGTAAGTATCCGCAAAGAGTTTGTGCCTTGTTGGTGAAATAGAGGCTTATCCTGGTTTTCTTGTTCTTCTCGCCATCCGAGCTGTTGTCATGAAATGGAGTAACTTAGAGAACATGTAGCCCTCCATACATCCAACTGTTCTCAGCATTCCTAAAGGATGGGCGCCTTTTAGGGAAGTCCAATTTCACTTTTCAAATTATTCTGGTGTTTTAGCCGTTCTGATTATGAGTGTATTCGGGGATAGCTGCCTTTTGCGGACCTCCCGATCCAACTAATAAGAACAAAGACGAAGCAACTGTTGTTAGATACTCTAACTCTTCAAGTTACTCTGAATTGCCCTAGTTCTTCTAACCAGTTGTTCCCCAAGGGGCCGGTTCGGATCAGCTTCCTAATCGTTGAAATATTCCAACACATCCCCCCCCCCACACACATACACATTTGCCCACTCACACACGCAAGACCATGTCCTCCGATCTCAAGCTGAAACTTTTGCTAGAACTTGGGAGAAACCGGAGGAAGCCTACTGCAAACCGGCACCTGGTCCATGAGCTTTTGCTCCTTCACGGTATCATCGAGGAGCATCGTGGACAGGCTGCAGGTCCTACCCAACTACACTCGTGACTCAGGTGCATCTCGGTTGAGTGCCACCGGTCTCTTGCCAGCCGGGTGCTCCCAAATGTGACGTTTGCCCACTACCAAAAGTTTGACTCTATCTCTCTCTCTCTCTCTCTAGCCTTGCCTTCGCTTTTCAGCCTCCAAGTCGGCCGTCCTCAACCTCAGCTCTTCTGAGGACCTCAGTCAGTCACGATGTTGCCGTGTGACTTGACATCAAAGTTCTCCAACAACCGCAACGGCCCTCTTGCCATCTCATCCCGCAGCTTTGAGCAGACCAGGCACTCCTCAAGTTTCTGCTCCAGCGTCATGATAGCCGAGTCTTGCTCGCGTAGCTTGCGGTCGCAATCTGCCTTAGGCGACCAGAATAACCTTGTGGCCCCAAACAGTGCAAGTGCCTATGTGTGTCCATGCACCCTGTCGCAAGCTGAGACAAACAGGGCCAAATTCAATGTTCTAATCTCCGCTGGCGGTGAGATGCCGGCCTCGTAATTGTTTGGGGGCATACTTTGGTTTGCTTCAAAGAAAATTGTATCTCTTGTTCATTAGGCGACGCGTGATTTTGATCACGCTGCACGCGATGCCCTTGCTCTTGCAATGAGTCTGGCAAAAAGCGTTTTGTCGCGGGGTTGCTGCCATGGTGCCATGAGAGCCGCATTGGACATCCGCTGCGACTTCAGCTTGGACAGCTCCGATTCGAAGTCGCCACAAGCGATGCCTGCAGGCGCGCGCTCCGCAAACATGCCGACTCGCAATGCGCCAAACCTGGGCAAAAAAGGTGTATGTGACCTTGGGGGCACAATGAACTGGACCCAAAAGCTCCTGAGCGAACACCTTGCCCTGCCAATGACTCCGAGGTACTCCAAGCTGCAACCCTAAACCCTAAAACTAAACCCTCAGGTTCGGCAAAATCATGTGAATCCAATCAGGGCGGGAAACGCGCAGGGCAGGGCAAAGAATCATGCACCTAAACACTCATACACCCACAGGACTTCACACACTAAGCTGACGATGTGGGAGTCATGCCTCAAACAAACGTCATAGCGCCTGCTGAAGAAGCAAATACCGCCGCATGCGCGGTGCTCCTACGGAAAGCTTCAAGTCAAGCTGCAGTTTGCCAGTGGTCGGGCGAAGCGCCGCCAGCTGGATTCTGAGGGACTCCGGATTACGTCCGGTTCACCTTGGCAAAGCCGTAGGGTCAAATCAACACAAAGCTCAATGGGCGTAGCCGGAGCACACTGCTTTTGCCTTGCTCAAGTCTCACTCAAGCCAAAGGTCCCCATGAAACACTGCCGGGGAGAGTGAACTCCTTGCTGCTGGTGACGCACCCCTTAGCCATCAATCGCGCACTATGAAAACCCCGAATGACAATATCTCCCAAAGTAAAGTATGGCTCACCAATCTGTGCGTTGTGCCATGGGTCCTGGAACATCTTCCAAATATTTGTCTGAGGTTCACACCGTTGGGCTTCCTGATGCTGAACAAACATCTGTGTCCTCAGTCTTGGATGTGCCCGCATCCTTGGCACGTCCACGTCATTCACAAGGCAACCTGTAGCAGGCTTTGTCAATGCGCATGCTATGCACCAAATCAAGCCGAAGCATCAGCATTCTCCACGCAAGGAGCTTCCGCCATCGCCACTGCACTACGCACGCGGTCAAAAGCTGGCTTTGCTGACAGTTGCTCAGTCTATCCATTCCATCCATCTCTTAATGTATGAACTAAGTATAGCAGCGAAGCTTTCCGAGACAAGGCTGGGAACTCTCAGAAACGCATGCACATAAACATACCAAAACACGCGCTGAAGCCTGCAACGGCTGGGCCAAGCAGGTTTGGAAACGCGGCATGACGACAATCCGACAATCTGTGCAAATCGATGTGCACGGCAGGCTGGCATCGAACGGGAAAGCCAGTATGCAAGGCTGCTCCTCGAAGTGCGGCCAGTAAATAAACCAGCCACCATACCTGGCCTGGCAGGGATCAAGAAACCAAGCAAAGCACAATGGGCAAGACCTACTACATGGCTGGCCTGAACGGTTCTGACGATATCAGGCTTCATCCAAACACGCAAATGCTGGCAAACCTTAGCGGCAATGATGCCCTCTGGACCCCGAAGCTCGCCTTTCTCTGACTGACGGCTGCAAAAGGAGCTGGACCGACAAGCTAAACACTGTCCGAGTGGGCTCCCTCTCCAATTGGCCGGTCTTTTTCCGCTCGCTTGCCTTCAAAACCCACAGCAAGAGTCTGGGTGCAGACCTTCGGCCTTCGGCCATCTGGCAATGGCATGGAACGCGGTCATTTGCTTCCCCATCTACCTTTGGAGTTCCATCCCTACATACTTTTTAAATTCTCAGACCTGACGCCCTCAGGCCGCCGCCCAGTCGTGCAGCTTCAGCTCCTCTTGGTCCACCACCTTTGCTGCCACAAAGACATGAACCGGGGGATGCCCGCAAAAAGCCTCCACATATACATATCATATGTGTATGTGTGATGGCTGCTTGTACGGCGGGTTGGCATGCTCAGATGCGGCAAGGCTTGTGGCTGACATCTATATGATTGCAGGCTGAAGACCCGCCCAATCTGCAGGATGGGCATCGCTACCTTGCAGCAAAAGTTGGCGCACCAATGGTTTCATGTCTTTCCGTACGTCAAATCATGTCGCAGCACAGAACTCAGCCAACATGGGGCAGATCCAAGCGCGCGAACTATCTGAGGCCGCAACACCAGCGGGAAGATACATCTTTTCGCCTCGATCCTGGGCACACATAGGAACAGTTCTTTTGGCTGACAGGAACCAAAGCTTCAGCTGCGCAGGGCCAGAGGTCTGAACCTCTGCAAGTTCCCAGGAGAAGCGCGCCGTCCTTGACAAAGGCAACTGCCTCTGTGCCTCTCTGCCTCTCTAGGTGCAGCTGGACGTCGATTTCAGCCAGGTGCCCTTCTTGGAAACCAGCTTCCCCGGCTTGATCTCGCACCCAAATCAGAGACACAAAAAATGGGCAAGCTTGGGGAATCTGGGGATGTGCCTTTCCGCAAGTCCTGCCTCCCAGTCTGGCCCATACACGTAGCGCCTGATCCGACAGCCACACGCCCAACATTCTTGTCCAGAAGAAAGGTGCTCCCCAATACTGCAAAGGATGATTGTAGCAGGACACTGACACATCCTCTTGACCACAGCTCCCATGACTGGTTTTGCTCAGCCCCGGCATCTCCGTTCGCAGCAAGGTCTCTAGCGACCCCATCTCCTGTCACATCACGGCCTTGCGCCACTCATGGCAAGAGCTAAGCAGCCAAGCCGTGCCTGTAAGGCTTCATCCCACCTCGGTTTTTGAGCTGCTCTAATTCGCCCCTGAGCCCGGCTTGAAACAACTCGGCCTTTGGGGTGCTAGGGTTGCAGCCCGGCAAAAGATTGGCCGTTGGCCTGCGCCAAACGCTGCGATTTGCAGACACTTTGGACGCAAAAGTCGCGAAACGCCTCCTGGGCTTCCGTCAGCACGCTCTCCAGCTGGCGCAGTGCCTGCATGCAAACGTCACCCAGCCCTCACAAAATGCGCATCACGCGGGGGCCAAAAAGCGTCCAGTTCACCGGCGGCAGCTCAAAAAGAGAGCCCAAGTTGCATGAATGCTGGCAATGAGTATCAAAGTAGAAAATCAAGCAATGTGGACGTGCGACCAACACAAAACCTCCTCTTGAAGCTGTGGCTTGCTCTTGGGACACTGCCTCACAGGGCTTAAGACCGAGGCCCCCGCCTGTTGCAGCTCAAAGGCCTCAGCTCAAGGGCAAGAGGCCATGAACTGATCATTCCTCGTTTTCACTCGGTTTGCAGGGTAGATCGATCGCACTCCTTTCCCGACGCCTCTGTTCCAACAAGGCCTTTCCATTCAAGCTGGCGGTTGACTGCTCGAAGTGCAACAGATATGTACAACTGGAAAACTCGTTTGAGATGAGCGTAGCATAGCGTAGCTGTGCATCAGCTTTTGAACTTCTTGACAGCAAAAGGCCCGGCCTCGAAGTCTCGATTGCCCCCATCGACCTCCCGCAAGGCACTCACTGCGTCCTGGCTGCTGCACATTTGCCAATTCGTCTCGCCCTTGAGCCACCAACCACATGCCCAAATCCAAAACACATGCTGCCATGGGTGGTGCTCTCCTGCAGCTGGCCTCTCGAAGACCTGCTAGCCTCAAGCGAGTGCCGGTCATGGCATCGGTCAAACCCCGCTAGTTTCGCCCTACCCTAAACTGGACCTCTGGGCTCCACCGGCGACCACCGGAGGTGAGTGCTCTGAGGGCAGCACCGCAGCAGCCGGAGCCAGGCTTCGGGCCTCCCATCGCGCTGGCAACATGGCGGCCAAAGGCGCTCGCCCGTGCCTGCAGGAAGCTCAACAAGCGCAAGAGGTCCTGCAACAGGCACAGGGACAGAGGGAAAAGGATGGAAAAGGGGCAAAATGGAAAGCCACTGTTGCACCTTGGCTCTCTTTCCCTCCTTTACTTTCCGTCCTTCTCTCCCTTCCCTCTTCCCTCCCTTCCCTCCCTTCCCTCCGTTCCCTCCCTTCCCTCCTTTCCCTCATTTCCCTTCCTTCCCTCCCTTCCCTCCCTTCCCTTCCTCCCTTCCTTCCCTTCCTTCCCTTGCTCGCTTGCTCGATCTCTCTGTCTCTCTCCTCTCTCGCTCTCTCTCTCTGAGTCTCTCTCTCTCTGGCTGGATTCTAGGTATAGGTGACGATTCTTCTCCCGATGCAATGGCACAGTCATGGCAAACCGCCAATTTTGCTCCACGCCAAACTTCGCGATCCGCAAAGCACCTGGTGCTTGTACGCATCGCCCGCACTGGTCACTCAGGACTTCCACCCGTTGTTTCCTCGGCTGTCTCTTGCTGTCGGCACGCGCACAAGGACCGCAAACATCAAGAAGATACGTTGAATAAATGACCTGAGAAAATCACGGAACGACATCTGCTGAACAATGCTACCGACAATGTATTGAAATGCCGTCTGGTTTGCATGCCCATCGGCTGCAAACCAGTGCTGCTAAACCCCCAGCCCCCTTTCCCTTATCCAGGTTGCCTTTTGCCACTCTTACCCTAGTGACGAGGGGTTTGGTGCAAGGCTCGTCGAATGGGCGGCAGCGCCGCAGGAAATCTGCCGGACGCATCGTGGCGAATCGCCCAGTTCAGCACCGCGCAGTTCCGGGCCTCGCACTCCACCGAGCAGAGCGACGCCCCGCATTCGCCCACCTCGCAAGTCCACACCTCGCGGGGGCACGCCAGGCAACCCAGGCAAACGTTCGGAACACAGAGGCAAAGTAGGCAACTGGCACTCGGATGTGAAACGGTGCGCTGGCAAACGGCTGTCAGCCAAGCGACCGCGGGCATCACATCAGGCCGCCAGGACACCAAGAAGTCAAGTCTTGTCACAGGCGGGGGCTCTGCATCCTCGGTCGTGAACCACAGCAGCCATTCGTCCACCAGATCGTCCTTGCATCTGCCGCAAGCAAAACAGCTCTCTAAGCTGCAATTCAAGCTGCATCCAGCTTCTGCTGACACTGTGTGCATGCCCACGAGCCACCCCTCCCACCCCCAAAGCATGTGGCAAGTCACTGTTGCAGACTCCACGGCATCCCTGGCATCCGCACTGCCGCCGAAGAACTCACGAGGTGCCTTCAGGAAACGAATCATTTCCCGACGTTCGCTTGACACACACGTGCAATTTGCAACCACGACTAGCCTTCCCGGGCCCGCCTCATCTCGAGACACAACCTTTGCCGAGGCCAGCGCAAAATCCTGAACCTCGCAGCAAGCCTTGCAGCGGGCTCAAAGTAAAATGCTCAAACTGGGTCCTTGAAGTGACATCCTCAAAATTACCCTTCAAATGGTGGGCGAGGTGGAAACCATCCGCAAAAGTCAGTTTGAGAACCCCTCAGAATGTTCGCTTGGAGGGACCCAGTCCAACTCCAAACGTCCAACATGCCTTCAACGGTGCTGCCTGGCGGCTTGATGGTTATGATGCTCGCCCTTGGGCTTCATTCGGAGCCACAGGTGCTCACGAACAAAGCTCTGCGGTCTCGCTGCTGCGTTGCGGAAGCACAGTACACGATGCTCGCATACGACGTCAGGGACCATCTCTTGCACCTCACAGTCGCATCGAGACTAGCTCTCGCCCCACGGACCTTGCTAAAACAGCTACGGACCGCTGGTGCAAGTGGGGCACTAAGCAGGTCAGCTGCTCGCTGCCCTGTTTGCCCAGGAGCCTGCAAAGCACCCGCGCCAAGTTGTCCACCCCATCGAAGGGCAGCACATCGTCACCTTGCCAACTGAAGCCGAGCTTCGCCACGCCGCGTGCAGCTCCCGCACCACCCAGGCGCGCGCGGAGCCGTTCCAGCGAGCTCAGCGCTTGCTGGGCAGCGGCGTGAGGGTCTGATCTGACATCCGTGTAGTGCACCGTCACGGTGGGAGGCACCCGGAAGCCCTTGTTCAGGCACATCTGCGATACCCACAGCTTGCCACAAAGCTGTCTGTAAAGCATACTAGGGTGAGGCCAACCACTTCGAAGGCCTACCCTCTCCATCCGCCGCTGCAAATCAAAGAAGAGCTTCTCCCGCACGCAGCCAGCCTCTGTGTCGGCATCTCTGCGCAGGCATGGCCAAAGAAAATACCACACCACCGTGTTGATGCCCTGCAAAACAGCTTGGGCCCAGTGCTCAAGCACGGCTTCCAAATCGGCAGATCTCTTGATGAAAACCGTATACAGCTCAAACTCCCCTGCTAGGACCGGAAAGAGGCCACAAGGCCCATCCACGAGGTCTCGCAGCATGCCGTCGTTTGTCACTGCGAAGTCTGACCAGGTGGGATTCACACCATAGTCCCACCAACGAAGCAGAAGTACCGAGAGCAGTGGCTGGGCTGGGGCCCAGCCTTTGGGCCTCACCAGACCCGAAGGAAGCTGCAGGTCCAGCACCTCCACCGTGCCAAGCAACGGATCACGGAACGGGCCCACGAAACGGACCTGCACCCGAGGATCGCCTGGCCGCTTGAGATGCTGCACCGTGGCCCACAACCAGCCAGAAGACAAGCCGCACAACGGCTGGCCCTTCAGCGCGCAAACGTGCACGAAGCGGTGGCCGCGTGGATGCAAGTTGGAGTGGTAGAAGGCGAGCACCTCCTCACCTGCCTCAAAGGCTTGAAGGCACCGATCCACTTGAGGCTCAGGAAACATATTCAGGCAGCATGCTCTTTAACTCCTTTCTGCTCCCCAGGTGCCGGCTGGCGCTGGGCGCGCGGTCAACACCGCAGCTGCATCACAGGCAGGCTTTGCTCGAGCCGATGCTGCGGAAGGTGCGATGCCACGAAAGCCATTACTTATGATGCTGAGGACGATGTGACCTGCCAATGCTATCACCTTGCCAAAGACGTCCTCTTGCGGCCAAAAGCAGCTCCCAAAAGACGTCATGGCGCCTGGCAGGCGTCACATGTCTTGATCGCGTGAGGTGCAGTGACCCGCCACGTGGGTCGCGGAAGCTGAGCCCGCAGCCAGTAAACAAATCATGGCAAATGCCTTTTCTTCTCTGGTCTGAAGGTCTGTCTTCGTTGCAAGCTTCATTGTGTCATTGCAAATGCTCAATGTGACAAGTTGAGGCACACATGTTCTTGAAGAAGTTGCCAATGAAGACTCGTTGCTCATCATGAGCTACGAGTTGCAAGTGGCAACTTGAGCAAAAGATTGGCTGCAGGTAGCCTGCTGCAACGATGTGACGTGGCATGGACAACTTGATCACAGAGCGAGTCTCAAACGAGGGCGCACTTCTTTTGAGCGCTAGAACTTGTGTACTTTGTCAGCTGAATACCCCAGCCTCGGCCGCCCATGCAACCCTCGCGCTCTCAAGGCATGTCCAAACTGTCCAATCTGCGTACTAAGTGCCTGGACTTGGCCAGAAAGCCACCCAGAGGTCCTTGGACCTTCCTGTGCCGTCCCAGTCTCACATGTCTCACAGTGATTTTTGCGTCCCCACCTCTTCTTGCCATCCAGCTGGATCCGCTCAACGGGCCCGGCCACCGTTGACACAAAGCCGTCAGTGCCACACACGAGGATGAAGCAATCTCAGCAAAGGTGTCGGATCCAAGCACGTCACAGGCTGCGGGGCTTCGCTGGCCTAACATTTGTTGAGGATCCCACATCAAAGTGACTTCTGCCACGCAATATTCTTGAACACAGAACATGCGAGTGCAATAAGGGAAGACTGCCTGCCCTACTCTTCTGCATGCCGAATGCACGCGTTGCCTTAGGTGGTGCTCATGCTGGCTGAATCGTCTGATGCGAGAAGTCAGGAACAGCCCTCACCAGAACATCATTTTGCCAAAAGCCTAAGCCAATGCCTCGGGTATTATTATAGTAAGGCCCGAAACAATTTCCTCGCCCGCCTGGGAACAATGGCCACTTTGGGTGGAAACAAAAGAGCAAATACAAACATCCCCTGAAAAATATCCCAAACCCTAAGCAAACCCAAGTACCGAAACCGAACTGCTGTGCTGCCTGGACTGGAAATGCTGCCTCTTGGTGCTTGCCTGAACTGGGTTCAGTTTCCTTCCCAATCTCGCACATGTTGCCATTACACCATTGGAGGGCTTGAAGAAAACGTGGCCATCGCCAAGTAGAAAAGCAATTGCCACACACAGTACATTTGACCTGAGAGGTGCCAGGTTGATTCTTGGGACGTAGGCGGAACCCAGCGCTGGGCAACTGAATGGGGGAGCTGCTGGCTCCAGGCCCACAGCACACCCGATTGCCGCGTTTCTGCCCTGCTTGTTGCGAAGCGAACTCAAGATTGGCTTCACATTCCGCTCCTGAATGGAGCACACTAGTGAAGCTACAAGCTTCCACTTGCTGCTAAGCTCACCTGAAGCCACTGCAAAGGAGAGGGTTGTCATATCCGCAGCAACCGCCCTGCAGCCCATGAAGGCAAGTAGGTTCCAGCATTGTTGCCATTTGCCATCCTCTCGCAGAGTGTTCATGATACTATTGCAGCTGCGTATGTTGGGGTTAAATTTGGCTATCTGCATCTGGCTAAGCAAGCCCAATGCCAATTCCCAAGTGCCAGAACTTTCGCAGGTGCTGAGAAGACTGTTGTACGAGATGATGTCCGGCAACACCTTCAGCAAGCCCATCAGTTGCAGAATGCACATTGCGACTCTCCACTGCCCGCTGGCTTCACACGCGCTAATGGCACTGTTGCAGGAGATGTCGTTTGGCAAGACCACCTTCAATTTCATCAACCCAAGCAGATGCAAAGCATGCTGCCATCGACCCTTCTTCTCGCAGGCAGCGATGACCGAACTGTAACTGACCACATTTGGCGAAAGCTGCTGCTCTGGCATCCCTGCCAGCAGCTCCAGGGCGCACTCCCAGCGGCCCGCCTTCTCGCACGCAGCCATGACGGCGCTGATGCTCACCACGTCATGCCGTACTGCGGCTTGGTCCATGCAGTGCAGCAGGTCTAAGGCCAGTTGCCAGGCCCCCTGACTCTCGCAAGCGATGATGGCGCTGCTGTAGTGGATCACATTTGTCTCGATCCGGCCGCGCCGCATCACATGCAGCACCTGCCAGGCGGTCAAACTCCGCCTGGCCTTGCGCAAGCGCGTCAGGACGCCGGTCGCCAATTTCGGCTGCCGCTGCCAATCCTGCAATACAGGCGCAACCGCCCGTTCCACACTCTGGAAGGTCGTGTAGCTGCGGAGGTTCAGCAACTTCTTCACCTCATCTTGCTCTGGGGCCAAGCGCGTGTACAAAGGCCGCTGTGCGTCCATGGGCCCTTGGCCTTCCGCCGAGCGGAGGCCATGGGGCCCAACATCATCATAGAGCTGATCCTACCATGTAACTGATAGCGTCTGAGCTGAGAAGCATGTGGCAGAGGTTGGCATGACTCAACCACTGCACTCCACTCTTAGCACATGTTCCCTCGTCTACACTCTGGGGGGCCAGCTGCTGTCAGGAGCTGGAAGCCTTTGTTGGAGCGTTTCCGGTGTGATGCGGCCTCTTTGTTCAGCAGGCCTCAGGCGAGTCCCAAGCAGAGAATAAAATATGTCAATCATCTAGTGGATGCCCTTTTGCCCCGGCCAACTCGCTGCTGGTCTGCTCAGCTGGATGTGCAAGCTGAAGAATGGCCCGGCCATTTCTTCCAGCTCCTCATGCATACTTGAGCTCTCTCTTCCTCTCTCTCCTTCTCACTCTCTCGCTCTCTTCCTCCCTCTGTCTCACATCCCACTGACGCGCGAAAACAAAAGGAGCATCCTGTCGCATCAGGATTTCCTCTTCATCCCGGCATGCCAGGACCAAGGATACACCTCAGATCTGCCACTACACGCTTCTCAATGTCTGATTCCCTGCCAAGGTTCGGGTGCCTTGGTTCCACGAGAGCGCTTCATTGGCCTCGGCTTGGCAACGCGGATGCACGGACAGGAGTTTGACTACCCATAGCCCCCTATAAACATGGCATCCGTTGCGAGGTCTTGACAACAAGGGAGACCAATGTTTCAGCAACCGATTCGCCTCCCTGGCATACAAGGCCGTTCGGAGCTTCCATGGTGAAGGGCTCCAGGGTCTGTCCGAAAATAGGGGAATTATTTGGATGGCAACGGGAAACCAGAAGGAAACCATTCGGCCAAGATGCCACCTGCAGGAGCGGCGCCAGGCCCGTCCCACAGGCCACCAGACCCAGCTGGTCCCAGCGGCCTCGTGCCAGCGGCAAGCCGCCAAGGTGGCTGAAGCTCTCCTCAGCGCGCACGCGCGCGCGCTCGCGGGGCGAAACACACGACCCCTTTTACAAACCTGGAACCTCTGAAGACATTTTCCTCAGGGACCATTTGGTGGGTTCCGTGTTGGCGGTCCAGTGCATCGTCATGTCCTATGCGAACCTCCGGCAGTTCGTACCAAAATGAGTTGAATTGGAGTCCTACTTTGCTGGCTGCATCCAAATTTCTGGCTTCACCTTCCTCAGGCACAGCACCCACATGCTCTTTTCTGGCTTCTGGCGCCGGACTGCAATCCATCACCCTCAAAACATCATGGTTGCACACCAAGGGCGGCGCTAAACAAATTGTCCTCAAGTGATGCCAAATCAAGTATGTTTTCTGCTCTGGTAGACGCTTGCCTGCCAAATCTCATCAATGCAGTCTGCCCCGGCTGCAGCGCACACAAGTAGGCGCCCATCCCTCCTCCCTGTCGAGGCGGATACGCCCTGACCAGCAGATCGAAGCTTCCGGCCTCAGGGTTTCGAAGCTCCGAGACAGTCTGCGCCTCCCCGACCCCCTCGTCCCGCCTGCGCAGGGAGCGACACCGGCGAGTAGGACTTCTCCAGCTCCGTGCCCGGCAGCTGAACCTTCACGCCTGGCTCCAAAGCCTTTCCCAAGACCGGGAGGCAAGCGCCCAGCCTGTCGGCGCAGTCCGGCCATGCCCACCGAGCGGTAACCCGTCTGGGACCGCAAAGCGGAGAAGCGAAGCCTGCGACGTTGCCGGAATGTGTTTGCCAGCCCATCTGAGCATGCCGAACAACAGGCCAAATCGGAAAACCCATGTGCTGCCAAAGGTCTGATGGCGTCAAGCGCCGCTTCCACAGAAGCTCAAAGGGGCGAAAAGCACTGCCCATGGCATGTGGGAAGGTGCACTAAATGCGCCGCTGCTACAGTATGGGAGTGGGAGCGCCTCTTTGTCGCACATTCGTCGCCCCAGTTCGACCTCATGAGCTACTTAGTTTTGCACATGGCGCGACTACGATCGCCTGCCCGCATCGTGAATCGCATTAAACTATAGCTGACACGGGGCCAAGATTCCAACGCACATGCGAACACACAACAAGCATGCAATCTCCGGCATTGTTTGCCCTTCTCACGGCCTGTTGCGTGAAAACGCTAAGCGCCTGTTTTAGGCGTAGCGGAGAGTCCACTCCTGAGCCTTCCGGTTGTACTCTTGCGGGTCGCACAACAGCCTGAGCCGGGTGTGACTCGAAATTAAAGAGGCAGGGTTACGCAGGTTTTGGTCTACCAGGGAGCCATGTTGGTACATCTTTTTGGCCCACAGCCAATGGAAAGGACTGGCAGGCCCGGCCCCGGCGCTGCGGCTGGCCCCAAGGCTCCCACAGCCTGCTGGCTTCGTAAACCAGCCCGTCTTCTGGCACGGGTGCGGCGAGCCTCATGCAGAACTGGAAACCAGTGCCCTTTAGCCATGCATGGAACCTCTGTTCGGGGCAAGTTGCAGAGACAGCAGAGCCTGGCAAAAACGAGCCAAAAACTACAGCTCGACATGCAATTGCGACATGCTGGGAATCTGCATGCAGCATGCAGTTCCATGCGGTACAATGAATTCACTCGTCCTGCACGATGCAGTACGCCGAGCTTCGTGTTGAAGAGGGCCCCTGACAAGGCCAAAGCCATTGCCTGCAAATCGCGAGGGTACGCAGCCTCCGTGTCACCCAGCTTTAGCCGCAGCAGTTCATGCTCCAAATCCAAGCCTCGGAGGAAATAAACCGGCATGACGGTGTCGGAAAAGAACAGAGGCTCTCAACCCAAAGAACCCCTTGGAACCTTCGAACCAGCGACGCCAACCAAGAGCTCAATACTTATGGGTTCCAGGAGGTGCGCACTAACCCAGAAAACAAAACAAAAAAAGAAAAAGAAAAAGAAGAAAAAGAACGGCCCCGAGCGCCCTGCATACCGAGCCATTCTGGTCTATGTTGCAATGATACCTGGTTTCAGCACAGAATTTTGGGCGCACACGCAGAAAGAAAAGAAGCCAAGGACAGCCAGGCTGCATCGGTGTCAAGCACTTTATCCGCGGGGTGCGATGCGGAAAGTCTAGAGGAAACCTGGCATGACAATTGCAGGCCAACAACATTCCGGCTAGCATCCAAATCGGAACAGGCTCCTTGTCGGATAAAACAAGGTTGGAGGGCCACAAAAGGAAGCGGAACTTTCCACCTTTGTACCTCGGACACGTGTTGCAAAAGTCACGCGTCTGCTTCGTTCTCCTGCCAAGGGACGGGGTGCCTTCAGGCCCGGCCAAGCTGACCTGGCAATCTGGCCAGCAGAGAGCCGCGGACTCAAACCGAACCCACCTCCCATTGGAATAGATCCGAATCCACCAACTCCACGTCACAGGTGCCCTTGGCATTTGAGGCACTTGCAACGCAGTGCGTTTGTGCCACTGCTTATTTTTGTCTGTTCTGTGGGGGCCTGCGGTTCTATGCGCGTGCCGTGCTGGCCTGTGGCAGTTCTTCTCGTATGAGTTTGAGGTCAGCCTCACGGCGTGTGCCAAAGCAAACTGTTGGAAACACGTAAGCCCACCTTCAATTCTTCCATGTGCACAAGGCTGCACGTCCATCGGGACAAAGCAGCTCCCCTCTCTTCAAAAACTGAAAATGTGGAAACTGCAAGTTTTGCATGCAAAAACATCGGCGACACCACAAAAACTGATTGGATTGTTCCTCTATGGTCCGATCCATTTTGCCGCGCTGCTCTTTGGCTGCGTCCGAATAGAGTGCACATCCGTGCAAAATTGGCTTGCCGCATGCCAACCACAAACTAGAAGTAACTAGCAGGGTTTTAGACACTGTAAAACATCACTGGTTTTGGTGGCGATTGTCTGTCTGCATCCGTGCCGCCTCAATCCTTTCAGAATGCTGCCTGTGTTTTTGTCGTGGGTCCTATCTGAAGCACGGATACAATCACAGAAGTGGAGTAGCAATGCCTGGGTGGACAGAATTTGCTGTGCGCCTTTTCCGCAGTGCCCTTGTTCCAGGGCGACCCCTACCCCTCGCCCTGTAAAACGGAATTTCGCAAGGTCAGGGTAGCTCGTACAATGGCGCTTCAGTTCTAGATGGATAGGTTGAAACATGCATTGCAGCTGCGAAAGGGTTTGAAACAGTATTTCGGGAGAGAATAAACAGGCCCAATCCCACCAACAAGAAGAGATTGTTTAAACCCCCCAGTCCCAAGGGCAAAGTGGTGCCCCTGGCTGGCCGAACACGAACCAAGACAGGGTGCCAGTTGTAACAAGGTAAAGAAGCCCAGCAAGGGCAGAGACAAGCGAAAGCAAGCACAAAGCAGCAAACCAAGCAGGCAAACAATGCAGCGAAGCAAGCAAAGCAAACCAATGCGAAACCAACCCCAACCAGAACCCCGACCAACCTCCACCGGAAACACCACCACGAGCGCTCAGCAGCGGCACTGTTTGCCGAAGATGAGCGTGGCGTGCCGCGGTGCGCGGTGACGAGATTGCAGAGTCGAATTGACGGGTTGAAAAGCTTGAGCCAAACGGCGCATTGGCCGTGGCGTTGAAACATGTTGCGATAAAACTACATGCCCCCAAAAACACCCCCCTCGCCTGTACAAAGAGAAGGAGTGAATTTGGAAGGGCGCATTGGCCATGTTGAAGTTGAGAAGCAATAAACAAGAAAAACAGAGACGATTAGACTACCAGGGTTCGCGACCCCATACCCGGGCACTCATTGGTGCCCGCGCCGGTAGTCAAATCAACCAAGAGAAGACAACAAAAGAAGAAAACAAAAGGATCAACTCCAGAATGGCAGGCATGAAACTAAATGTCTGGCAATTGCATTGCAACCACATTGAACCATCAGATTCAAGTGGATTTAATTTTGAATTATTAGATTGGGCGCTTTGGCCTGCTGGTTGAAACATGGTGCTTTGACCACAAGACCTGGGTCTTTAAAAATAGCACCGTCTAGGCGCGCGATCACGCGAAGACGGCCGGCACGAGTAGCACCGGCAGCCGTCAGCGGTTTAGGCCCGAGTTGGACACCTCCGGCAGCAGTGCAGCGCAATCGCGGTCATCACGCCAGCACCTTGATGAGTTCCTTCACCAGCTGCATCAGCGGTTCAGGAGGATGTGAATCGCCAGCGGCCAAAGATGCCGGCGAGGATGACTGCCTTGCGGTAACAGGGCGTACCTGGCAGGACAATGTGACCGTCGCGATTAGCGCACGGTCACCCGTGCATACGAATTATGATTCGGTGAATAACCGATTTTTGGTGAATCGACGTCAGGAGCATTGTCCTATATGCGCCATCATGCAGTAATCGAAATTACGATGAGATCATCGAAATGTGCAAGTGCGCATTGGCACTTTTGGGCACGACTCAGCGCATGCAGAAAGGGCATCATTTGCCCCTGCCGCCGCCGCGTCGTCCCCTTCCTTTCCCAACGTTCCAATCCCCGGGTGGGGGATGAGAGGGCTCAATTTCAGCCAACTCATCATCATCACCCCAAGTTGGGGTGTGAGGTGAACCAGGATTTACATACGCGCCGGGATTTTCCGGCGGAAACTGCGACCAACCCTGCGGCATTGCGCCGGGCCACATCTGCGGCATCATGCCAGCCATGTGCTGCTGCATGAAACCCCCCATCGGGAATGTGGGGTACATGGGGCTTGGGTACGGAAAAGGGGCGGCTTGTGCGCCCTTGTATCCCGAGCCGCGTGCATCAGGCTGATAGCCGCCTGTGGGCGTCCTCGACCGGGCGGATCCGCCACGGCCGTGCTGCTGGCCGTATAGGCTGCCTTTGCCCTTCTGCTGGTCACCTTTGTGACCCTTGAATTGGTCAGCCTTGTGACCTTTGCCTGCATTCGGGTCCCCTTTAAAACCCTCTCCTTTGGGCCAGGAGCCCGCAAAACATTGCCCTTCCTGGTATCCCCCTTCCCTTTCTGGTCCGGTCGCATCGAAGCGGAGCGATTATCACCCCGAGGTGTAGCCGCCCGCCTGTGATGCTTCCCAGATGGAGGATCCACAAACGTGATGGCGCTTTGGCCATTGCGTTGCCCAGCGGGAACCATCTCGACCTTGTTCAGGTCGGTGTAGATGTATGCTTCAGCGTACTCAATTGGGACTGTTATCGTCCCACCACCGCCCCTCAGGGAGTCAATGCTCAACCTGAGGGTCTCGGTGATGTCAAAATTAGCGTCTTCGCTAGTGAAGTCCGCGAGGCGTCGCTCGGCTTGGGCCATGGACATGATTACATCTTCCCGAGAGGCGCCTAGGCCGTACAGCGGGACGAGGAATCCGTCCTCAACACCGATGCGGTATGCATCGTAAATATATACAGAAAGATAAAAGGCAAACGCTGATTGTAGGCTGCCTTTCCTTGTCACGCGGCGTCCCCACTGTGCCGCGTGTTGCGGGTGGTCGATCAAATACGCCAGGACTGTCAAACCATCAGGGACTGGGTTTCCAGTCTCGCTTTCCTCGATGAGCAGTTGCTTTGCCACCCATCTTTCAAGCGCCTCATCACTCGTTCTCACGCATGAGTGAGTGTCCATGTTGGTGACTTTCTCAACCTCATGGAATGCTACCTGTACGATATCCGCATTGGGATTGTGTACGAGGTATGGCGCACAGCGCAAACCAGAGATCATGCAACTGACCACCTCACGGATCGGGTTTACCGCCGCCATCAGAGGGGCCCAGCTGCACGTTTCCGCGTAGTACCAGCTGTTGGGCAGGACTGCTTTGAGTCCGTCCACCCACGTTGGCTGTCCGCGCCTGATCTGAGACTGAGAAGTCCCGGGCACCCACTCCCGATAGAAAATGGGCAAGTGGCAACCATCGCATAGAATGGTGCCGTACATGTTCAAATGTGCACAACGAGGGCACCAATAGTCATGCATGGGAGCTTTGTCCCATGCGAATGACACCCCTCGCGGCGGACCCGGACAACCAAGGCCCGGATCGCCCATGGTCGGATGTATATTACATCCCCTTCCTGGTGCAAGTAACATGCACGCCAAAAAGGCGCGTGAATCTCTTCACGCACGGCAATGAAACCGCGTCGGGTTTTGTATATGCCCGCGGCGCCGTCAGTCGCCAGCCACTTCAGGTCGATCGCCACGACAACATGGCGCTTGTCCATGTACGCGGCACGTTCATCGACGTAAAACTCGCCCTCATTATTGGGGCTTGGCAGTTTCAGGAAAGGCACCTTTGCGCCTTCCATGCCAATCTGAATCTCCCCCCTGCAGATCTTGTCAGGCCGCATAGGGAAGACTTGAATGGCGAATTTGCCGGGACGTCGGATGCAATTTGTTTTGAGGGCAGATCTATACTCAGGCATGGAAAGCAGCACATATCCCGTATAAGGGACCTCCGCTGCATCCATTGGCCTCAGCAAGGGCCCGATCGGAGTACGATCGCGTAACGCCCAGCGCTTGAAAACCTTATATGGCACGTCCCTCCCGATTAGGGTGGAACGCGCAAAAATCACTTCGCTTGTGACCTCTGTTGGGTCATTTTCCTCCCAGACTCTCCGTATTAGGAGCTCCACTGGGGGGTAGGCGGGGTGCTCCCGTGCGAGAGCACCCTTCTTTTGTACGGGCTTGAACCTGACACTTGCTCACTTCCAGTGGAACCGCCGCCAGCCTCCCGTGGACGCTTGGCGGTGTGAGCCGCGCCAGTATGCACAGCAGGTGCGGACCGCCTAGGGTGGCTCTTGCTAGCCACCACACCCTGAGGAGGTGGTTTCACCTTGGGAGCCGGCTCCGCTTTGGGTGCCGGTTCCGGCTCAATGACACAAGCCCTGAGGTCAAAGTTATCTGACCTCGCGAGGCCTGCGCAATAGGAACGAAAAACGTCCTGGACCTCACGGGCCAAGAACTCAGGATGATCCTCTGCGTTGAGAGGAGTCCTCCACGCATCGTAACCAGAAAGCAAATTCTTGCCTACGATGTCATTGAAACGATACGAGCCCAAGCCCGAATAGCGGTTGGCTGCTCGAAGCACGTTGCAAAACCTTTCAACCTTTTCGGTTGCCGCGATGGCCGCAGCCATCTGAGGGTGAATGTACCCTGTTTCTGCCATGCAGTGCGCGGCTTCGCGCAGACACGACCTTGCGCGCCACAGATTCGCGGCCGCTTGGTAAAAATTGCAGTACGCGACGGTCCACGTCGGGTCCTGCGCATAAACCTCATCATCCCCGAATTGAGAATCGGGCATGGTGAACCCCAAACGGATCTCCCGGCCACGGATTACGTCAGCCGAGATTTGGTTCGAATTGGGTTGATCTTCCGGAGAAGGGCGGGGAGCGTTTTTTTGCCCAGACTGACGCATGATTCATTTGCTGCTTCCCTATTGGAGTGCAGCCTCTCAGTCTGCATTTGCCGATACCGGTCGACTAGGCCCGCCTGGGGGCCAATTGACAATGGAGCGAGGCTTTCCTCAGCCCATTCGGAGAGCGCTTTGGCCCCTGCATGATGGATTCCATCTGCATTCATTGTGTCGGAAACGACGACATTAGACAAATAATGTGAGTCGTACTCGCCGAACCGGCGGTCGATTGCTGAAGCGTCGTCCAGCATCTGGAAAAATGCGTCCTCTGTGAGCTCTTGCCACAAAGGGAGTGCG